GCGGCCACAACTCTGAAAAAATATGAAGGGGTGAGGTTGGACACGCTTCCTCAGAGTGCGAGCGAGGCGGTAGCAAGGGCAAAAGCCTTACTACCAAACTTCCAGACCACAGCTGGGGTTTCGGTGGAAAACCAAACCAAAGGTCGGTGGAGGAGCAACAGCCTCCACCTAAGAAAATCCGGACGCACACCGGGGAAGCTAGACCTAGCTTTGCTGAAGTTGCTAGAGACAGGATCATTATTGAGGTTCTTGACCGCGGCAATGAACTCGGCTCCATCCCTCGGTACCAATGGACGTGGGTGAAGGCTGCTCTGGCAACCGTCATTTTTCTCGTCTTGCTGAAGAACCCCGGAACTCCTCCCGCGTGCAGAGATACCAGCTGGTACCAGAGCCACATCAAGGTTGTTGCTTGTGATGATTCGAGGTCGGTGGCGCTGTATAAGGCCGCCGTCGCAAAGGTGGGAGCCCTCTACCCCGGAGCAAATCTGGAGGTGGTGGACTGGAAAGACATTCCAGTCAGGCCCAGGGCCAGGGCGTGGGTGCCGGTCACGGTATCATTGCCGGAGCGCATCCTTAGGATTCTGCAAATTATGAATCCGGCTCTTCCAACGAGCGATTGGAGGGTACTATGGGTCGAAGACCCGGATGGACCGGCGAGACAAGTGGTCCTGTCTCTAAACAGGGACTCGATAGAGCTTCTGGAGAGGAGAGAGGGCCGGGTCTTCTACGTCCTCGACGAGGTGACCCTAAAGGTCTATCTCGGGGACGCGCAGCGCGCCTCTAGTGCTAGTGCCTCAGTGGACGTGGACATTGAGGCGCCTAAACCGGGGGGGGATCTCTCTGACGCTGAGAGCAGTGCCTCCATGGAATCCAACCTCGCATTGGCGATGCGGAGGATGTGCGAGGAGGAGCTGCTACTCAGCGATGGTGAGGACGACGATGACGTCACCGTTGTAGCAATGGAGGAGGTGGCAGGAACCTCAAATGAGGGTACTGCAGATCAACCTCCACAGATCTAGGGCAGCCTCGGCTGCTCTTTTGAGTCGCCTGTACAACGGCGACGTAGATGTCGCGCTCATCCAAGAACCCTGGGTGAACAACTCAAGGGTCTGTGGCCTGAGCGCGGTAGGTTTTAAGCTTCTGGTGGAGCTAAATAGAGGTAAAATTAGAACCTGTGTAAAAGCAAAGTTGGATTTAAATATCTTTCTTCTACCTTATAATAGCGATGGTGACATCACGAGTACCATATTGGAGATAGGAGGCGTGTCTATCATGCTGGCCTCCGTTTACATGCCCTACGAGGCTGAGGATCCTCCGCAATACTTGTTGCTCAGACTGGTGGATGGACACAGCGCAGGTTTCGTTCTGATCGGAGGCGATGCTAATGTTCACCATGTACAGTGGGGGAGCTAACCTTAACTACCTTTTAACAACTAGTCTCATGATATGTAACAGAGGTTCAGAACCTACTTTTGTTGCGAAGAACCGTGAGGAGGTCATAGACCTTACGCTATGTAATGACAATCTTTTTGGTATGGTTAAAATCTGGAGAGTTCTTAACGAACACTCTTTTTCCGACCATAGGTATATTGAGACGATTCTGGACTTTACTCTAACTGCTCCGCAGTTTCGAAAGAACCTAAGGAATACAGATTGGGAAATCTACAAAGACGCTCTGGAACGTAAGTTACCATATCCGGCAGCTAGTGAGCCCAGCACCACTGGTGAGATAGTAAACATGATTAACTCTTTTACTCGGATTTGCTCAGAGGCCTCGGCTAAGGCTTGTCCTGACCCTAGACCCAGGGGAAAGTAAAACCCCACTGGTGGTCTCGGGAGTTGGACGCACGGCGGAAAGCCTGCATGGTGCAGTTCAACAAGGCAAGGAGGCTTAGTCACGAATCTGAGTGGCAAAGATACTTATAAGCAGTTTTTGCGTGAGTACAAGAAGGCTTTGTGGAAGGCCAAGAGGTCTTCCTGGAGGGATTTCTGTAGTAGTGTCGAGGGTAATTCCGAGACCTCCAGATTAAGGAAAATACTGTCGAGGTCATCGAACCAGATCGGGTTTCTGCAGAAGCAAGATGGTTCCTGGACCACGACGGGAATGGAAACGGTAGAACTGCTCTTGGACACACATTTCCCAGGGAGTTCGTAAACACGGTGCTCTTTATACCTTCCTTCGGGCGGGTTAGTAAATGTGCCTGTCACAAGGTAGAGGATTGCTTGGGCGATACAAAGCTTTAAGCCCTATAAAGCGGTGGGGCCGGATGGGATTATTTCCGCACAACTGGATGCGACGCTTGAAACCTCTGTAAGTTGGCTTATGAAGATCTTCAGGGCCTGTTTTAAGCTAAACTACATACCGACAGCATGGAGATCTGTCTCCGTGGTATTTATTCCTAAAGCCGGTAACGGTTCACACACAAACACAAAGGATCTCAGACCTATTGCCCTCTCTTCCTTTGTACTTAAAACCCTAGAAAGTATAGTTAGTAACTACCTATCTTACACCATCAATAGTCGACTACTGTCTAACAATCAACATGCCTATATGAAGGGCAAGTCCACGGAGACAGCGCAACATAGCCTGGTCAATTTTATTGAAAAAAATCCTTCAGATACAAAGACTATTGTCTTGTAGCCTTTCTAGACATTGATGGAGCTTTTAACAATATAAGTTCAGAGGCCATAATACAGGCCTTGAGGGGAATGGAGGTAGACAATTCTCTGGTGGAGTTTATAAGGCAAATGCTCTTATGCAGGGTGATCACGGCAAACGTCGGTAAGAACTTGGCTTCAATATATGTTACAAGGGGCACACCACAGGGTGGCGTGCTCTCGCCACTCCTTTGGAACTTAACCGTGAACTCTCTCCTGCGAGAGATGAAATGGGAAGCGGCCAAGGTTGTTGCCATTGCGTATAGGGGGAACTTCCCGCAAACTCTGTGCGAATTGATGCAGTGGGCACTTCGCGTTGTATCAAGATGGTCCACGCGCAGTGGTCTCTGCATCAATTCAGAGAAAGTGGAACTTGTTCTCTTTACGAGAAGATACAAAATATCGCTACTGACCCCGCCTGAACTAAACGGGCGACTTTTAAGCTTGACGAATAAAGCAAAATTCTTAGGGGTCATTCTCGAAGGTAGGACAACATAATCCAGCGTTATGAAAAGGAGTCTCTGGCGTTATTTTCGTGCAAGAGGGCCATTGGCAAGAAATGGGTTCTGATCCGGAGTATATGCCGCTGGATCTACGCATCGATGGTCAGATGGTGGCCGGCCTTGAGCAAGACCTCAAATATTAATCTACTCAGCAAATTGCAGAGTATCAGTATGATCTGCATTAGCGGAGCAATCCGGACAACGTCAAATGACGCCCTAAATGTATTTTTGGGACTTGCGCCACTAGATTTAGTGGGTCAGCAGTTGGCATCTATTGCTGCACTTCGGTTAAGACAGGGCAATGGGAATCGGGATTGCTGGGTCACTCCTGCATTCCGAAGAAATAAAGCTTTCTTCCGGGCTGTACAGACCGTTGTGTAGAAACTCTGGTTCCGGATAGAAACTTTGTCATGAAAATCCCAAGCAAGGAGGAATGGGAAGAAAACTAATATACTCCACGCGGTAATATTTTCACAGACGGTTCAAAAATGAGCGGCGGAGTGGGAGGAGGGTTCTTTTCCCGAAGCCCGCCCTGAGCCGTTCATTTCGACTACCGGACTACTATAGTGTCCTCCAGGCTGAGGTCTCAGCTATAATGGACGCAGTAAACGAACTTCGTACTGATTAAAAAGGGAAGGAGGTGTTCATCTTTAGTGATAGCCAAGCAGCAATTAAAGCTGTGAGCTCCGTCACAATTAAATCGAAAATCGTGCTGGACTGCCGCCGATCTCTGCAAGAGATGGCTAAGCAGAACAGTCTAAACCTCATTTGGGTTCCCGGTCATAGGGACATTGTAGGTAACTGTATGGCGGACGAACTTGCAAGGGGGGTTATGACCAAGCAGATTCTTCCGGATAAAGAACGCATTGGTATGCCCTTCGCCACTTGCAATCTGCTTTTAAGTGAATTTATCTATGCTCGCGCGAGCGAGAGATGGATGCAAACTACGACCTGTCGAATTTCTAGGCAAACTGGCCTTGGTGGGATCGAAAAAGGTCTCAAAGTTTATACTCTCTAAAGAGGGACGATATATCTCATACAATCGGTGCTCTAACGGGTCACTGCCTTATAGGCAGACATGTAGAACGTCTCGGAGTGCCTTACCATAGATGCTGCAGAAGTTTCAAGAATTATGATGAGGAGGAGACAGTTCTTCACCTTCTCTGTAAATGCCCGGCATTATCGAGAAGCAGACTGCGCTTTCTGGGGTCTCCTTTCTTTAATGACCTTGACAAATTGGGAGATTTAAACCCTAAATGCCTGGAGAGTTTCGTCAAGTATTCAAAATGGTTTAGCAAGGGGGAGTGAAAACTCTTAGTCGTGGTATTACATCGGGCCTTCATTTTATGGCCTATGTGCGTCCCTGCGCAGCAGTGGCAGCCACATCTACCTACCTACCTACATTCATATTACAGATATATCCGTTTTTAATTATATTCTTCCGCACTTTCAACTCATTCACAATTGAAATTGACACACATGCAGTGTAGCCCCTTTTCTAGAAATCCTTCAAAACGTGAGGAGTTTTTCACCGTTCGCAAAGAATTTAATAAAGGAGCAAAGATTTCTTGTTGCCACATTGACATGTTCACAATGATATATGGGTTGCCATTTCTCCTTGTTTACAAAAATTTTCTTAGATTTTTTGGCGGGCAACGTAGTCTTAAATATTGATATTTATTTGGCTCTCATCTAATCGTACCTAAATTGAGCTCAGTGTACCGAGTGTACCTTTTGGTTCAAAAAAGTCGGAAAAAGGTAAAACTGTACCTACTTCTCCATCCCTGGTACATACATATTCAATACATGCATACTTGTGTGTATGTATTGTAGACATACCCCTCCTTGTCCGACGTAACATTCTTCAAGAAATCTTGTACATTTTTATTGTCACCCAAGCTCGAATAGTACTTTTCCAAATCGTTGATCGTCTTGTGATGAGACAGAACATTGCCTTGACCACCGACTAGGTCCTCCATGTATTTGCGGGTGCGCATAATTACTTCGGAGACTTGAAGCTGAGCAGACGTGTTTTAGAATTGCCGTTAGTTTAAGAGTTTGTCTTTAAGTTATTTGCATCAAACTTACCAGTAATTGTGGTCGTCCAAGGGCTGTAAGCTTGATTGCCGTGATACCTGTGCCAAAGGTTGCGCCTAAATGGATTGAAGTGAATATAATTAAATAACTAACAATAAAAGAAAGCTGTGATTCACCAAATGAATTTATATGTACATCTTTAAAATATTTTCTTTTTACAAGATAAGATGATTGAATACTAATCTACATCATTTATGTAAAGGAATCCAGCGTTACATAGTGAGCTTATGTACATATACGCACTAACATTTATACACATGTACAGATAAACAACAACTTTTCTGCATCTTCTTGGCTTACCCAGCGCTATGGGTCGGGGAACAGTTCTATTATCGTCATCTTTTTTAGTAGGTAATTGGATTTGATTGATGCGATTGTATTGTTTCATTATTAGTAATTCAGTTTTTGGATGGATTCATTAGCGGGATTAAAAAATATATAAAATATATTTAAAATAGTTCGAATTAAATACTGAAACGCATAAATTACACAGGCCAACAAAAATGGAAAATAATTTTGGTGCGACAAATGTTAAAGCTATTGTTGATAAACTTTTTTGTATAGATTTCAAACCCGGTTACAGCATCCATCAGCTCCAGATTTTGAGAAAAACGAAGTCAAATTCTCAAAAAATCGCCTTGTTTGCAATATTTGAGAAGCAAGGGCAAAGAAACAAAAGGTGATAGAAGCTTCTACTTAAGCTTTCTTCAATTGTGACTTTTCTATTTGAATTAAATTAAAGCTAGATCTCTCGACTACTACCCCTGAAAATAACATCTCTGCACCTTGATCTGATGGTAATTTATTGAACAGCGAAAACAGATTTTGGCACAATTTTTTTCAATAACACAATTTTCCAGTATTTTTTTATTGTTCATTGAATATACCTCCCTACACTATATCTGCGTTCACCCTTGCTTTTCTAAATATTCACAATATGTACATATTTTCTTCTATATAACAAAACATTTACTCATACCTTGTATGGAGAAAAATGCCTAGAGCCGTCAGGAAAAAAATTATTAAAAATCAACGCGATTTCTCAGTCACTTCAAATTTGTACACTGTTATACTAAAATTGAATGGGCTATAAAACTGCATACCAGAAATTTTCGTTAAAAATCTGAGTAAAAAGTTTAAAATTTTGATGAAAATTCAATAATTTTTCCTTAATATTGTATACAGTTTGAAACCTTGATTTATATGGTTTTGTTTATAGCATGAACCATATTTTTGTACAAAAATAACAAAAAAATTATAGCTTGCAAAACATTGTGAATATTTAAAATAAAATAATGTAAAAAAAATATTTTTTAAAAAACAAGCTTTTATTTAACCTGTACAATCAAAGGAATAAAATGAAGTAGCGTAACAAAAGATTTTTTAGCAAGAAAATTTTGTCAAAACTGCACTAAAATGAATAAAATAAAATAAGTTAAGGTCTCGTTAAAGTTACTAAACGCCATTTAGTGAAAGGAGTTATTCAAACTCTAATGAAAATTACTAACAATTTGTACTAATTTACTTCGTATTTAAAAAAGCTTGTCGCGCGAATAGCAAACCGGCATTTAAATACCTGCATACATACGTATACATACCTAACCAATTATGCATGTACGCTGAATTCGCCGACAAGCTTTTTTAAAAACGAAGTAAATTAGTACAAATTGCTAGTAATTTTCATTCGAGTTTGAATAACTTCTTTCACTAAATGGCTTTTAGTAACTTTAACGAAACTTTAACTTATTTTATTTTATTCATTTTAGTGCAGTTTTGACAAAATTTTCTTGCTAAAAAATCTTTTGTTACACTACTTTGTTTATTCCTTTGATTGTACATGTTAAATAAAAGCTTGTTTATTTGTTATTTTATAATTTTTAGTCCATTTATAAAAGCGTTGTATATTAAAAAGTGTTTTTTCATTTTATGTACAAAATTTTGCAATAGATATTAAAATAATTCAACTTGCAATGAAAAATGCAAGCAAAATGTTGTTTGCTTTTGTTTTGTATAAACATACATATGTACATATATCAGCAGTTAATTTTATTTAAAGAAATGGCGTGTCGTCCATTTCCGCTGTAGCATGGCATATATTTAGGCGCAATATTTAACTTCTTCTGGCGGGGCGACATCTGGAGTCTAGAATTTGCTACAAATAGCTTTGCTACACTACCGCCGCGGCGCGCTGGCAGCTTTAACAATTTTATAGTGGTTTTACGTTCTTTGGCAAATTACGCTCTGTTAGCCATAAATCTTACTATTTTTTGACCGCCTTTGAATTAAGACCCCTGGTCCATATGGGGAATTCATTTATATTTTAAATTGCATTGTCATCGTGATTGGAGCTATGCTGAAAATTTCAAGTCTCTAACTTATCGGGAAGTCAGTTTAAAATCGATTGGAATTTTCCGCGATTTGCGCGGGATGACCAAGTTAAATAAAAGCTTATAATAATTATAAAAACAAGGGTGAACGCAGATATAGTGGAGCGAGCGTATGTATGTATGTGACCATAAGGTCAAGGTGCAGGGATGGTATTTTTAGAGATATTAATCGAGATCGCCGATCTCATGCCAAGTATCTCATAAGATATATTACAAATGGAGACCGCTCGCAGATCTCCTGCAAAAATATCAGATCTCATCCCATGACAATTATTGCATACAATGAACTGTCAAACTGCGTGTTTTCGGTTGGTTTTTGCGCTAAACTTGATCGAAATCTAAAAAACAGGTCACCTTTGTGTTATTTAGCTCTATTTTCACTGTTGTAAACTATATCAAGCTGGTTGCTTTGGGATATAATTCACTGACGCATAAATACTTGAAGCCTCAAAAAAAAAAATGGATCAATTTGCTGCTTAACTTTTGAATTATAGGTGTTTAAATTTAAAAAAATAATGAAAACAGGTGAATTTTTTATGTAAGTTTTAAGAGGGGCACAATTAATTATGTCATAACTTTTGAAGCACACCATATTCTGATTTGAAATTTAATGGGCATTTAGCATTTATATGTACTACATATGAAGTGTAAGAAAAGTGTGCATTAAAAAATAACGAAATGGCAAGTAACTCAATGTCTGTAACTCCACATTTCACAATTTTCAAAATTTTCGGTTTATCGCGTATAGTTTTTGAAGCATTTAATTTTCAGAACTTTTTAAGCATTTATTGTATTCTACAAACAATTACGAATAATATAATGCCTTAGCAAGCGGTGGGCTTTCAGAATAAACCAACTTTTATTTTTTTATTCCAAAAACATCTTTATTGAAGGCACATTTGGAAAATACGTCGAAACTAGTCCTTATAACGTTACATATACCTGTAAAATGCTTCAAAAAAATGTTCTCTAGAAGTGTGTAAAAATCCTGATTTACTACTTTCAGTGATGCTCCTTCTTTTAGTCAGAATATTTCGAGAGTGGTATCAAAGCAACTCTTTTTCGACAAATGTTCTGATAGTTGCTCTTACTTAATTGGAGCCTTTTAAATTCAATTGCGTCCCCAGATTTTCCCGATTGTCTCCACTTTTGGAGATAGCGGTGTTTGAAACTTTGCTTAAATTTGAACTATTTTATAAAAAAAAACTCCCTCAAAACATTTAGCACGCATACAATTTATTAATCAGATATGAAGTTAGAGTTATGGCGCAAAAACACATATCTGAGTAATCAGTTGTATTGGAGCTATGTGTTAAAGTGAACCCATTTCGATAATTTTAAGGAATAATTAAGGTAATATTAAAAAACCATTATGTGCAAAATTTTAGTAAAATAACTTCAACTGAGGGAGTTATTTATAAAATAGTTAAAATTTAATCAAATTTTCAAGTACCGGTATTTCGAAAACCGGAGCCAATGTGGTAAAACGGCGTATGCCATTGAATTCAGAGCATCCCAATTAAGAGGGTTCAACTTTCAAAATCATTGCTCAAAATTTACAACTTGAACAGCGTAATGTGAACCCAGCTTATTCTTTTGTTTTCTATTTCATGTTTATTCCTCATTCAACTTTTGAAGCACTTGATGAAAATGACTTACACTTATATTAATCGATTTACTAAGATATTACAAATAAAATTATATATAAAACATAGGTGTGCTCACAAGTTTAGAAGTAAAATTTTTTTTTAGATTTGCCCATATGCTTAAAAGAAAATAAAATATGTAAATAATTTTTGTGAATACAGTCATCTAAAAACAAAGAAGGGCTCTGTTTTACTAGCTTTTTGCAATGAAATGCCCACGTAAAAAACTTTTTCTGCGGTAACTGTTCCGCAGGATATCAAATTGACAGTCCGCATGAGATGGCAGATAACAAATGGAGACGCGGGTTAAGTAGGGCTGCCAGATATCTCCGTTGGCAAACCGGGACACTTTGGTAAATGTAAGACAACAACCTTCCTTTCCTTTCCTTTAGGCAAAAATTACTTACGTACGAAAGTATGTAGTAAAATGTTATTTTGACAAGACAAAAACAAAAACTTAAAAAGATGAGATCATTTCAACGGACACCAACAAAACAAAACAGCTTATCACAACTAAAGTTCAAAATAGACATATAGTACCGCCCAAAATTATTGGCACAATGCATGCAACATTCTTTTGTTTTAATTTTTCATAAATATACCGTTTATACTGTCGGCCGCTGTGGTGTACTGGTAAGCAGTGCGTGCTTCCACTCCGCTGCACCTGGGTTCAAGCCCTGACTTTTCCTTAATATAATTGTAAAACTCTGTGCACGTCATTTTTAACGTATGTACTTATATTGAGCGAATTTCTTTCCTTAGTTTATTGAGATGAAATAAGAGAAAAAATCGATCCACATTAGAGTTATGACTATTAGGTATAGCCAAGGTGTATTAAAGGTGTTCTTACACCGATATGTATTTGCATCTGTAAATGTGACTTTTTCAATACATATGTAAACAAGGTGTGGTTGACAACTCAGTGACGCTCTCTTTTAAGGTACTATAACCTCAAAAAATATAAACACATGACGCACTCTTCTTTGTAAGCGGAAAGGAATTTATACTTTCTCTTTGGCATTT